TGATAGTCACCGATATTATATACAGTTTTGGTTTATTTTCTTTTTTCTTCTCTTTTTAAACATTGAATTATAGCCGACATTAGTTTTGGTTCATTTTCTTTGCTGCAGACTTGCAGGACTAGACTGCGTTGCATTTATTTATGACATTGTTCATGGATTGTTTGGCAGGTTCCTTCTAGACAATGTTGCTGTAATCTTCGGTGTGCATGCATTTCTGTCCAATCGAGTGGAATTTCTGGGTCTTTGGGTAATGCAATATCTGGAGCCATAGTAAATACCACCAAAGAATTCTCCAGTGTGGTTATAGCATGTTACGCTCTCACTAGCAGCAAAGGAGAGTTCTTGGTGCTTTGGATCTTCATCAATCTCCAACATCCATTCTTGATTCTTAAAAACTCCTATTATGGATACTTCCTTAACATGATAAATGTATTAAGCCCATACTTTATGGGGAAAGCAGTCCTATTAAAACCAGGAACAAGTCAATGATATCTACTATCATCACTTTTAGTCAGCATTGTTCTGGAGATCCTAGTTAATGAAATAAGACAATAGAAAAAAAATAGAAATAAAATTTGAAAAGAAGGGATCAAATTATTATTATTAGCAAATATTAAGGTTCTGTACCTAGAAAATGCAAGAGAATCAACTAAGAACTACTAAAAATGATAAGATTATTCAGTAAGGTGGCTGGGTTCAAAATTGATAGCTAGAAATCAATAGTCTTCAGTGATAAAAACAATAAGTAAGCAGTTCCATGGAATAAAATATCTTACTTTCAATAACAACAAAAAGTAATTGAGTTAACAAATTACATATAAGATATAAGTAAGACCGCCAACAACAATTTTTAAAAAGACTTAATGAAGAAAAGACAAACTGTGTCCTTGGGTGAGAAGAAGCCAATACTTCTTAAATTAACTATACATTTAACATCATTCAATAAAAATGTTAGAGTATGGCAAAACCCAGCATAGACAAAGTAAAAAACAATTATGAACCTAGGAGGAAATATTTGCAATATTTGCAACAGAGGGCTAACGTCCCTAACATATAAAGAGTGTCTACAAATTAAGAAGGAAAAAAGACAACTCAAAAGAAAAATGGACACAATGTATGAACAAATAGTTTTCAGGAATGGACATGCACATGGCTTTACACATATGGAAAAATGCTCAAGCTCATTCACAGTGGTAAAATAAGTGCAAATTAAAACTACAATGCAATGCCATTTTTCATCGATTATTTTTTTAAGTTTGGTCTTTAATGATACTGTCCTGGTGAAGCTGTGTTTTCATTTGCTGCTGGTGTAAATGAAGGTCGATTTGGCAACACCTATTAAAATGAAAACTGCACAAACCTGTAAGCCAGTACATCCTCTTGCAGACATTTATCCAAAAGATAATTCATACATATATATGGTGGCATTTATCTGAGGCTATTTATTGCAGCATTGTTTGCTATTGCAAATAATGGATTGTTTATAATTGTTGTCATAGCAAACAATTATAAACAATCCATTCAAAGGGATCTGGTTATATAAATTATGCTACATTTATACAAAGTTCATGTAGCAGTAAAATAAAATAATAGAATGAAGCAGTGCTATATAGAAGATTCTTCTTGATACATTGTTAAGTGGAAAAATGCGTAAGACCATATGTATAGTATGCTAAGCTTTGAGTTAAAAAAGAAAGGAAAAAATGTATTTGCTTGTATTCGCGTTGAACATCTCTGACGGATACCTGAAAAACCATGATATTTCCTCAGACCTGAGTCTCTCTGGTGCTGGAGCTTCCTTCATCTGACCAGAGCTGAATGGTGACCCCTGTCATTCCACATGCTGAAGTCCTAACACCCAGTACCTCAGAATGTGTCTGTATCTGGAGATAGGGCATTTAAAGGGGTGATTAATTTCAGATGAGGCCATTATTGTGGGTTCCACTACAGTCTGACTGGTGGCCTTACAGGAAGAGGATACTTGGACACATGGAGAGACACCAGGGTGTACACAGAGGAAAGACTAAGTGAGGACACAGTGAGAAGGTGGCCATTGCAAGCCAAAGACGGAGGCCTCAGCGGATGTCAAATTTGCTGGCCCGTTTAAACTGCCAGCCTCCCAAGCTGCGAGAAAACCTATTTCTGTTGGTTAAGCCACCCTGTCTGTGGTATTTTGTTCTGACGGTCCACGCAGACAAATACGTTAGTGTCATCAGAAGGTTGTTGCCCAAACGTGTCTGGACTGCCACCTGGCCGACAGTGATAAATGAGATAAATCCTGATTTTAAAGAGGCTTAACTGTCAGGGAAAACAATAATCCCCTTTGAACCAATGACTC